CTCAATAATTTTAAAATCAATAAAATGAACTCAAGCACTAAGGACACTGAGTTCTTCGGGGCAGGACTGTCCCTTTCGAAGTGTTTGAACGAGTGCCTAGCACAATGAAGACTTAATACTAATTACATTCAAACAAGACAAATAAGTATGAGAATAAAGAATGGCATCAAGGAAAGGTACATTAAGGTACTGTGTCATCAGGCACTGTATTACTTGCAGTTTATCAACTTTTCTGCTACACTGTCTCATTTTGACAGCAGTAGAGAGCATATTCCACAGCAAAGTAATAATCTTACACTAGGGAAAGAAAGCAGATTCACTTGTTCTGCCTTAGCAAAAAAAACCTTGGCAAGTAAAGATGATGTATTTGAAGGGAGTTACTTTAATTTCACCTGCAGCTCTGAATTCACTCTGAAAGATAAAACCATCATAGTAATCCTAATGTTATTGATACCTCTCTCCGTCGAGACGCCCAACAGGTTTGTTTGATCTTCCAAACGACAGCAGCCACCAGCAGTAAGGACAAAAAACAACTGCAATTACAAAAAAGAAAGAAGAAAAGAATTAAGATCAAATTATTTTATATAACCGCTCTGGAAAATAATTATGTACATTGTGAGGGAAACAAGGCTGACAGTAATGCATTAAAGCAGGAGCAGTAAACAGAAAAATGAAGGAGAATTGAACTTGGTCATGATGATTGATAGCTGTCAATCACCTTGCTTTCAAGTCAGAAGGGGATGCACATCCTGAAGGCTGTGCTTATCTCCACCAAACACTGTTCCTGTCTCCACTACAGCAAGTTAATTTCCAGCAGGCCCACAGTAGAGTCACCAAAAGAAAAAGAAGGTAAATTAACTGAAAATGACAATCTATTTTTGGAAAAATCAGTTATCTGAACAAGGAAATTTCATGTGTCTATACTTTTCTCCTGTTTGGCTATCAGTAATTTAAAGGAGAGCAGGTACTGCAACTTGGCAAGACATTAATTAGTATGATGTTTTAGACTGGCACAACAGGCAGTAGTGGATACATTTTGTCCAGTGTACCAAGTATATCCTTTGCTAACTTCTTTGAATAACAACACTTCAAAGAATATTGCTATGTTATATTCCCAAAGAAAGAGCAGTAAAAATCCGCTTGATTTGTGTAATACCTGAGTTATTAAATCTCTGTACTTCCCACCTACGGTGACCAGACGTCCCGATTTTATAGGGACAGTCCCGATATTTGAGGCTTTTTCTTATATAGAAGCCTATTCCCCCCCACCCCCGTCCCGATTTTTCACACTTCCTGTCTGGTCACCCTATTCCCACCCAGCATTTGCCTTCCTTCCCCTATTCAAAAATTCCAAACATTTATCTTTCTAATTTTTGACAATAGTTCTCTAAGCTAGATCTTCTTGTGGAGTATTAGTAATTCCCTCCATCCACTCATTTTGGAGAGAAGCTGTACAGAATCCCACCACATCCTACTGAAGCTTTCTATAGTGAGGGGGAAGGCAAAAAGATTCTAAAGGCTTGAATCCACTGTAAGAGTCCAGGATACCTTTGAATTGGTCTGTACAGCCATTTAAAAAAAAACCAATCAAGGATTTTCTAGCTACATCTAAGAACCATTGATTAACACTAGTACTTGTCTTGTGCATAGTATTCCCAAGACCAGCTTGCCAACAGGACTGAAATTACAACCTGGAAGATCTGTCTCTAGGGGCAAGAGTCCATGTCAATTCATTCTTTAGTCGCTCTTCTGAGATTGTTAACTCAGGTGCCCGTTAATAATAATTGTGATGTGGACAACAGTCTGGAATGAGAGAGCCCAAACATTTCATCGGCTGCAGGCCACAGTCAGCTGCATCTTCAAATATTTAACAAAATAAAATAACAAACTATGTCCAAACCCCATAACCTAAGTTCTATCAATACTGTAAAATACATGGAGTTCGAATTTTTAATCAATATTTTCTTTATTTAAAGACCTTTTCACCGGGAACCTCCTAAACCCCTTTTATCAATTCCTTGTTTGGACATCCTTGAGAAAGCCTGCTACAGTGGCACCTAAGCTTAGCAGAAGGAAGAACCATATATGTGAGGCGGAAGGAGCTTCCGTTAAGAAGCAGGTCAATTAAGTAATTAAAATCAACAGCTTAGTTTTACTTGACACAATCAAATCTGGCTGTTCAGATTCAAGAAGATTGATCGCCCTGAACTTGGCAGTGGAAAAGAACAGTTAAAGGCTCTGCTTCTAAATGCAAAGCTCTACCTTCCTCTTAATGGCCAATGTCAATGGCCAACATTTCTTCTGTGGGTTCTTTAATCCTCTTTGGGACTTTGGGACTGTTGTGGAAAATAAAAATGTGGTCTCACGCCTTCTAGGACCACTATTTACAATTATGTTGTGCTTTTATTCATTTCTGGTACAGATCTTTTTTTAGGTAATTGAGTTTTCAGTGGTTCTTGTAGCTGCAAGATAGCAAAACCAATGGATCAGAACAGTTCTGCAAACTTCAGAATTATTTTCCCTATAGAAAACTTGGGGGGGAATGGGAAGGAGGAGAATAAATGAACTGTAATAAAGGATGCATGAGAGCCAGGTGCAGGTTCAGGAACCTTAGGGAATACAGAAGAGGAATTTCAATGCCACTATTTAATGAGCCTAAATGTAAATCATCTTTTTGCAACTGTTCTTATTGAGAGAATCCAATGCAATAAGAAATTTTAAGCTATGCACCCTTTTATTAACATAGTGTGGTTTTTGCTAAGAAGGGGTATTCCACCAAAAGTTTTTGTTACAATCTCTATAATAGCAAACGGATATGAACATAGATTCACAATTGTAGAATGCACATACATTTACTGTTAAAACTATTTATTTCATTATTTCTGTTCATATTTTAACTTCTTTTTTAAAAAATTGTCCCTGGCCCCCATCTCCAGTTTTTGGTTGAAATCAGGGACTAGTAGACTATGTGATAACCCATGGGGCTGAGCAGAGCAAAGAACCATTCTGGGACAAAACACGAGATAAGGGTAAATTACTTGCTCGTTCCCTGCTCTCCTACAGGTCCATCTCAGGGACAAATGGGGATAACAGTCACCTACCACAGTTTACAGTGGTGGGACTTGAAACAGCAGGAATCCGAGGGTGGATACATGAGCGTGAGAGAGTTAGGGCATACCAGAGATAGAACAGATAGCTGGTCAGGCTGACCAATTAGCTGTATCCCAAGAGCCCCACTGAGAGCAGCACAGTGATGCATCCCTTGAGTGGTCCCATAGACCATTGCCAGGATCTAGACCCTTTTAATAGGAAATGCTCTCATTCACCTTTGTCCCACTCCCTGCATATTTCTCTTGAGCTGCCAGGAAAAAAACTGTATACAGGCAGCAGACCTGAGGCCAGTAAGATGCAAGTTCTTACATTACTCCTCTCACTTGAAGCCTGATCCAGCTCCTATGGAAATCAATGGAAAGACTCCAACTGCATTCTATGGGAGATGGACCAGACTTTTCGGTTCTTAATCAGTGGCAAGTTACCTTGCCTATAATCTATAAAGAAGGCATCCTTCCAGATGCTGTTGTGGCATCCTCTCGCATTGAGGATACCTCTCCGGGGGAGGGAGCTCCAGTTATTAGGAAGAGACAGGTATCAGTAATGGATGATTCGATCATTAAAAACATAGATAGCTGGGTTTGCAATGACCGTGAGAACGCAGGTGACTTGCCTGCCTGGTGCGAAGGTTGCGGATCTCTCGAGACATCTAGATAGGCTTATGTGTAGTGCTAGGGAGGAGCCGGTGGTCGTGGTACATGTAGGTACCAATGACATAGGGAAGGATAGGTCAGAGGTCCTGGAGGCCAAATTTAGGCTGCTAGGTAAGAGATTGAAGTCCAGGACCTCCATGGTAGCATTCTCTGAAATACTTCCAGTTCCACGCGCAGGGCCAGTTAAACAGGCAGAACTGCAGTGTCTCAATACGTGGATGACACGAACATGTAGGAAGGAGGGGTTTAGATTTATTAGGAACTGGGGGAAACTTTTGGGAAAGGGAGAGCCTATACAGGAAAGATGGGCTCCACCTAAACCCAAATGGAACCAGATTGCTGGCGCTTAAAATGAAAAATGTTGTAGAGCAGTTTTTAAACTAAGGGCTGGGGGAAAGCCAACAGGTGCAGAGGAGCATGTGGACATTCCCTATGTCCTAATAAGGAGGAGAGGAGGGAAGATGATAAAATACAGGTAGGATCTTATGAGAAACAGTCAAATGAAAAAAAGTCCCATTCAATTACATCATACATAGGTGAACATAATTTGTTGGGGAATAGTCAACATGGTTTTTGTAAAGGGAAATTATGCCTCACCAATCTACCTGAATTCATTGAGGGGGTCAACAAGCATGTGGACAAGGGGGATCCAATGGATATAGTGTTTTTAGATTTTTGGAAAGCCTTTGACAAGGTCCCTCACCAAAGGCTCTTAAGCAAAGTAAGCAGTCATGGGATAAGAGGGAAGATTCTCTCATGGATTGGTAACTGGTTAAAAGATAGGAAACAAAGGGTAGGAATATATGGTCAGTTTTCAGAATGGAGAGAGAGGTAAATAGTGGTGTGTCCCCCATGGGTCTGTACTGGGCCCAGTCCTATTTAACATATTCATAAATGATCTGGAAAAAGGGGTAAACAGTTAGGTGACAAAATTTGCAGATGATACAAAACTACTCAAGATAGTTAAGTCCCAGGCAGAATGCAAAGAGCTACAAAAGGATCTCTCAAAACTGGTTGACTGGGCAACAAAATAGCAGATGAAATTCAATGTTGATAAATGCAAAGTAATGCACATTGGAAAATATAATCCCAACTATACACATAAAATTGATGGGGCCTAAATTAGCTGTTACCACTCAAGAAAAAGATTTTGGAATCATTGTGGATAGTTCTCTGAAACCATCCACTCAATGTTCAGCGGCAGTCAAAAAAGCGAACAGAATGTTGGGAATCATTCAGAAAGGGATACATAATTAGACAGAAAATATCATATTGCCGCTATATAAATCCATGGTTCGCCCACATCTTGAATACTGCATGCAGATGTGGTTGCCCCATGTCAAAAAAAGACATATTGGACTTGGAAAAAGTTCAGAAAAGGGCAACAAAAATTATTAGGGATATGGAAAAGCTTCCGAATGAGGAGAGATTAATAAGACTGGGACTTTTCAGCTTGGAAAAGAGACAACTAAGGGGGGATATGATAGAGGTCTATAAAATCATAACTGGTGTGGAGAAAATAAATAAGGAAGTGTTATATACTTCTTCTCATAACACAAGAACTAGGGGTCACCAAATGAAATTAATAGGCAACAGGTTTAAAACAAACAAAAGGAAGCATTTTTTCACACAACACTGTCAACCTGTGGAACTCCTTGCCAGAGGATGTTGTGAAGGCTAAGACCATAACAAGGTTCAAAAAAGAACTAGATAAATACATGGAGGATAGGTCCATCAATGACTATTAGCCAGGATGGGAGGGGATGGTG